ATATATATATATATTGTACTAAATTCAAAATATATAATGAGAAATAACATATTAACCTTATAACCCATTAACTGATTGAAATATAAGATATTAACATTTTAATAAGATAAAAGTAATAAATTGTTAAAAGAATTATTATTTCAACATCAAAATATGATATAAGAATATAAAAATTCAAAATCAATTTGGTGAAATTAATCTCTCACAAACCTACTTAATTCTATCAAATTAATAAATTAATAAACTATAGTTTAAATCTCTAAATTTAGAAGTCATCATTATTTTTATTTAATGATTTACTTTTTTCCTCACAACATCCTTAATTGCATTAATGCTCTCCATCTCTTATCTTAATTCTAATTCACATTTGTTTTATTTAATTTGCATTAATCAATAACAATATTTATTACATTTTAAATTATGACTACACTAATAGCAACAATTATATCCATTATGTATTATATAACTAAAGAATACTTGTTTTAATTATTTTAGATATTTAAAAAATAATCCTTAACCTAATTGCATACATCATTATTCATCATGAGGTGGACCTCACATTATGTGATGCATAAGCTTCATAATATACCCAATAAATCATAAGCCTCATTACAAACTGTTTAAAATATTATCAAGAATGGCCTCCAGACAACATATTATGCAATTTTTCTACCATAATCCAAAACAAGTTTAAATCTAGTTCAAACTTAATTTCAAAATGTTGTTTCAAGTTAATAATCAAATCGAAGATGCATTCAAATTAAATAAAATTAATATTCAATTTTTATTCAAATGTAAATTTTTTACATAATCAGATTCACACGCATAATGTAAAGTACAAACCTTAATGTAATTTGTATTCAAACCTCATTACAAACTCTAAGTGTTAGAATTGTCTGACAATAAAATCTCAAGTTCTTGAATTTTCTCCGTTGTCTTAATTCAAAAAAATATTACATCAGGACTCCGCACGTAGAGTTTCATGCAGAGTCCAATGAAATTACGCCACACGTGTATGAGAAAAAAATTGGTCAGGTAACACGGAATATTGTATGTTATTCATATGTAATTGTGTTCTAGAAATATTCCTGATGTTATAATAACACAATAACACATCAATAATACTTGAATAGCACACAATAACATCTGAATAACACGAGAGGAAATATTCCTGTGTTACAGTGCCGATTTGTTTTTTCTCACATTCACGTGTGGCGTGATTTCATTAGACTCCACACGTAACTCTACGTGCGGAGTCCTGATGTAATATTATTTCCTTAAGTCTGTCATTTTTAAACTCAATGTTTGCCATGAATTCTATATCTACAGATATCATAAACCACAGTTTCATGATTGAAAATACTTTCAGCCACCTTTTCATCAATATAAAAAAATATGAATTTATTACTGATCCTTATAATAACCCTAATACAGTTCAGGAATACAAAGAAGTGCATCATCAAAGAACGGCAATTACAACAACATTTTAGCTTACAATGACAGCTCAAAAAGTTTCAGATGATCTAGAGGGGTAATAAGCCAAGACAAATAGATGGAAATCAGATGGCCGGCCAAAAAAAAAAAAAAAACAAACGATGCCTATTTTCTGATGAATAATGGTTGCCAGGAAGGCTTCAGTTCAGATCAGCATTCGTTTATGGTTCTTCCTTTTTCAATGTGCAGAATGCTAATTTCATGAAGAAGCAAGCCCAAGTAGAACAATCGTTCTCTTCTCCAATTCCCAGAAATAACCAATTGCTGTTTATATTGATTAATTTAGCGCATAGCATGCTCAGGTATGAGACGCTGAATCAGATCAGGGGAAGCACCTTCAAGCTCTGAAAGCGAATTTTAATGGGTTATAGCAGTTAAGAAACTATAAAGAAATGGGGAATGGGGTGATGAATGAATAAAGATGTGGATGAAAAGTACCTTGAGGGGTGAAATTGAATAGAGGTGGAAGAGAGCTTCCATTCGGAAGCAGAGTATTCGGATTTCGTAGATCATCGAAAAAGTGATGCGCGCAGGCATCTAACTGCAGGTTCCATGAAAGAATAGGATCATCTCAAAGAGCTTCAGAAGAGATGTTAGGAGTGTTGTAGTTTTAGTTCTGGTATGTGATTTGAATGTGTTGAAACCAAGCAGCAAGAGTATATAAAGTACATAAAAAGGAAAAAAGATAAGTTCTCATGTATTTTTATATCTCACACCTAAATTTTCATATTTACATGCATATCAATTCTGGTGTTTTAAACCTATGAATAAAAAGGTGGATTTCTCTTTTCTAAAAGTGGTAATAGTGTTATTTTTGATGTGACGTTAAAGATTAAAGTAGTATGTTTATAAATATGAAGATTTAGGGGTCAGATATGTAAAAATATAAGATTTGTGTGCTATGTAAATGCCATGAAAAAAAAATTATAAGGGAATGGGGAAAAAAATTCTTCTAATCATTTAGAAGGTGTAGCATACAGAGAACATTTCGATATTGAAATATAACATAGGCTTCATCTGCGTTGTATGAAATAGAATCACAATATTCTCATTACAAAAATAAGATGCAAAATATGATATTTCCCAACAAATAAGCTTGCAATGTATGAAATACAACAACAACAAACCTTTATCCCAATTATGTCCTATTGAGTATCATGTTTTCACTTAATTGTAATAAATTAAGATCATGTTTTATACAATATGCCGAAGTCTTTCTAGGTCTATCTCTGCCTTTCTTAACATAATTCAAATCTAAAGCATCTACTCTGTTAATCAAATCATCAGATTGCCGACGTTTAATATGACCAAACCTTCTAAGATGAATCTCTCTAATTTTGTCCGTCCCTGGAGCTACACCAACCCTACATGGATATATTCATTTTGCATTTTGTCTCTAAGTGAAAAGCCACTCTTCCACCTAATCATTCTCAACTTGGCAGCACTTAACTTAGTTTTATGCTTCTCTTTTAAAGGTCAACATTCAGCGCGATAGAGCATTGAAGGTCTCAACACCATCTTATAAAATTTTCCTTTTAGTCTAAGCGGTACTTTTCTATCATACAATAGGCCTGAAGCATTACTCCACTTCAACCAACCAACTTGAATTCTACTACCATGCGTTGTATGAAATAGAATCATCAAGAGTTGCTCCACAAGTTCATTTGCATTTAAGTAATAAAAATATGTACATACAACATGATGAAGCATATTTTGCATAAAAATGAAAACTTTTCAACAAGTTAAGCAGCAATTAAGTAGAACAAAATAAAGACAAAATGTCAATGCTGCATTAATACTTAAGCTCATGCAAATAGCAGAGGTCAATTTGAAGCCCAAAAAATCAAAAGTTGAAACTCTTACAGCTTTATATCGCAAATTTGGAGAGTACTGAAGAAGCCTTGATACGAGATCAACTGCATCAGGAGGCATCCGTTTTTGAAAAATCTACAGTGCATTGGTTTGTTCTCAGTCATTAAGTTTTGGAACATGAATACCACCATGATTTATTAACAGACCTTATGCCAAGGATGAGCTTTGATTTGAGGAAACTTAAACTCCGTGTAATTTGGATTCATACATTTGATCTCTTCTCGCGTTGGGGTTCCCAAAATCTTGAATAAAAAAGACAGTTAATCCAGAATTAACTATGGTGAAGAGAAATGCATGGAAAGCTAAAAGACAAAAAAACTAAAATACAATAAATATATCAGCAGACCTTGATAATCTCCACCAATTGATCAACTCCACTCTCTCCGGGAAAAAGAGGCTGAACAATTTCATTGTTTAGTAACAAATATATATATACACAGTTTAATCTATAAATAGAGGCAAATCATAGAATAGAATTGATACAGGAATAAAAGCATAAAATGAAAAGAAAACATCCGGCACCAATCAATGTGAATCTCATGCATAGCATGTATGCTTATGTTTTTTATTCAAGACGGTGCTAATTTGATATTGAAAAGTTGGGTTTGACATTAATCATAAACAAGATAAGTGGATTACAAACAAATGAGAATGAAATGCTACCAGTAAAACCAACAACTAAAGAATAACACAAGAAGAGAAGTTTGAAGTGTCGGCATAACATAGGAATTAATATAAAAATTGACTAAATAAGAAACAAAGTGAATTGAAGGGTTATTTACTGCTTATTATTGGTTCATATTTTTATATGAATTTTATTATAATGTTAATATAAAAACAACACCCTAAATTTCATTGGAAAAGATTTTCGGGATATTTATGATAATAAATTTTAGGGAAATTTACATGCCCATCATACAATTCTTATGTATTTACATATTTAACATCTACTTTTATATTTTTAACACTTAGGTGTCACAAATCTATGCATGAAAAGGTTTTTCACTTTTATAAAATAAGCAATAGTGATTATTTTTTATGTGAAAGCTTTGAGTGATATCTAGTATAGGCGTAGGATATATAAATATATATGAATTGTGTGGTATGTATGTAAATGTCCCTAATTTTTAATATTAAGATAATATTATTATAAAAGTGGCATGCGATTATCCTAATAGGAAATCCTAGCTATGCATTTTAGCTCTTGCTATTTTAAATCTCAAATTCAAGATTTTTTTACTTCATCTATAAAGAATGACTTTTCATGTGATTTGGTTCTGACGCTCAAAGTACTTTGATTCTTTCATCTATAAAAAATTATGTTTCAAGGTAATTCAGTTCTAACATATTAAGTATATTAGTTTCAAATCAATTTCAAAAAATGAACAATTCATATTTGATCGTCCTTGAGCATTTGTGGCCCTCACAAACCAGCATCTTGGAATTCTATCAAATACAATATGGCCATGAATTAATAACTATTAATTTGAGTTTATCAAACTCTATTTTTTGGAAAAATGTTCCTTTTTATTGAAGAAATGAATAAATTTTAAAGTACAAAAATATCAACTACAATTTTTTTAATTGATTTTAAAATATTATCAATATGCACCTAGTGCAAGTGCAATTATGCTAGTGCGTCTATATATATATATATATACAAGGAACCTTAAAGTATCATGTGGATTGAACATAAATTAGCATACCATCGTGGCAGCTTTATAGAAATAGGCTAATAAAGCTCCCCACGATCTCTTACAAGCACTTTATGATCTTCCAAACCCAACCAATTACTCTGGTCATTCACCACGCATTGGCATTGCATTGAGATCTTACCATTTAATAGCTTACTAATTTCCTCTACAAACTAAATATTACAATTCGGATGTAAAACAAAATAACAAGTTAGTTGCACATATGCCTCTCACTACAAAACACGGAACAACACCATTGAGAGATGATGCTTTCTAACAAGATGAAGATCTCATGGAGAGCACCTGGCCCTGTCGGATAGGCATCAGATATGAAAATGGAATAAATAACCATCCCTCACTATCAGTAGCACTTAATGCTTACTAGATTCAAACCCAATGTATGATAGAAGAAAAACTAAAATGCTATCAAAATATCATCAACGTTTTGTGATGACATCACTCACTACCACAAAACAGAGGTAGAAAAAATAGAAAAGAGACTTTTCACTCATTTGTCCCCATTCAAAATAGCAGATCACCATCCACCAGCGCTCCTAAAACCCTCTAGTGCATCATCCTCAAATAGCAAATCTTTTAGGCCCATCGAACAAATATGTCTCCAACAAAAACTTTCAGAGCCTCTAAAATCAACCACAAACAATTGGCCTAAAAATGGCCCAGCTCTTAACTTGGCTACAGGTAGATTGGGTTCGCCTTACAATACCATAGAGAATATACCATGAGAGTATGTGTACCCTTATCCTCAAAAGCATCCCCATGAAGTAACATAATGGGAGATAATATGCCACCTACAATGCAAATAAACAATGGTCTAGTTTATCCACTCCTTTAATCAACAGTGTTCTTCCGAATATGAGGGATAATTAATAATGGAATGTAGCAGATAGAGAGTAAAGATCCAAATGATACTGTTCTAGAATTCCTAGAAGGTGTTGTAAAATTAGCTTCAGTGGAGGTTGTAAAATGACGAGGAAGAGAATATGTGAACTTGGTGAAGTTTGGAAGGGATTGAAACAGCTCAAGGTCAGTTTGGCACGGCAGAACGGTTGCAACACGGTTTCAAACCGCAAATTCATTCATTTGAAAAAGGCGGTGAGGCAGCATCTTCAACGATGTTCCCGTAAATGCGGGTCGCGGGAAAGGCCCCGCAGGCTGTGTTTGTTATGTTATTTTTCCACACACTGCCCCCACATCTCTGCCCTAGCTCCTGTGTGTCTTTACCTCTCTCTCATCTCTCTTGCCTTTCTCGTGTCTCTGCTATAAGGCCATCTCCTCTCTCCCGTATATGTCGTAAGAAGTGCTCTTCCCTCTCTCTCCCACGGTATCTTCTATCATTTATGTTTACAATTTATGGTTGATTTGGAATGTGTGGCTTTCTCTGTGCGATTTGTGACTTTGCTCTACCGTGAAATCGATATTCCGCTAAAATGAAAATGCAATTTTGGATTTTGGTATCCTCTACTTCTTTTTTTTTTTTTTTCGCGCTCTTTGCTCTACTCGGTTTGTAGTTTTAGGGTTTCTTTTTTCGGTTTGTGGCCCTTGGAATAAATATATTTGAGATTTGTGGGCTCTGGAATAGCTGGAAATGGATTTTGTGTCCTCTGGAATGAATGGACTTGGAACTTGCTTATCTCTGTGGATTCTGAAGGCTGAGAAGCCCTTTCTAGTTTATGACCTTTGTATATGCTCAATTTCTTGATTTGGTTGATCTGGGAGGTTTTCCCTCTTTCTGGGATGAAATGTTTTGATGCAAAACCAAAAAAAATGGAAGGTTTTCAACTTTGGGAAGTTGATGGAGCAGAGGCAATGAATTGGGCTTGGGGTGATGAGAAATTGTTCAATTGTGTTTTGTGGATGTTTTTTGGAAGAAATGAGACAACATTTCACTGAGTGGAATGGGGGAGTGGATGTCATTAAGTGCTCTTAAGTTTGAGGCCTTTGAAGGCCATGGGAGGTCTTGGAATGTTGTGGAGGTGATGAGAATGTGTTAGCATGCTTCAAATATTCTCCAAGAAGTTTTGTATGGTGGTGGTGGTGTGTTGATGTGGTGGTGGTGTGTTGATGGTGTGGTGGTGGTGGTGTATTAATGGTGGGGTAAATGGGAGTGGTGGTTTGTTGGTGTGGTACATGTGAGTGGTGGTGTGTTGGGTTGGAGGTGGTGGTGTGTTTGTGTTGATGATATGGTGGTGGTGTGTTTACATGGGAGTTGTGGTGGTGGTGTGTTGATGGTGTGGTTGTGGTGTTGTTTGTGTGTTGGTGGTGTTGTTTGTGTCGAGTTGGACGTTGTGGTGTGTTTGTGTTGATGATATGATGGTAGTGGTGTGTATACATGGGAGTGGTAGAGGTGTTATGTTGATGGTGTGGTGGGTTGGAGGTGGTGGTGTTGGGTGTGTTGGGTTAGAGGTGGTGGTGTGTTTGTGTTGATGATATGGTGGTGGTGTGTGATGGAGGGTGGTATTGTTGGCAAAGTATTAATAGATTTAGGATGTTTCTTTTATGTTACTATTTCGAGTTTTGAAATTTTAATGGGACTTTTATATTTTCATGAAACCTTATATTATGTGACACACATTTATGTTGTTTCATTTTTTTCATTCTAATAGTCGTCATGTTAAAAGCAAAAGAAAAAGAGTTCATCAGCCATATAGGACAACGAGGTGAAGCTAATATTTTGTAATCTGCCTTAAAGAGGTGGAATTGGTAAACATGTCAGCCATCTACTTTAATAAGGAAATATGACAGAATATGATAAAAAATTTTCAAGGAAAGCAAATGAAGGGAATATGAAAGAATACAATTAAAAAATAAGTGAGATCACTTAAAATGACGGAAAAATATTAAAAGAGTTAAAGTGGGGATCCACGAGCTTGAGTTGGAATTTGGTAAAGTAAATCATTGATGCGTCAGAAGAATAATGGGTCGAGAAATTGGAAGTGAGAATTTATGAAACGTTAAATCTTTCATTTTTTTTCAATTACATCATGTCGTTTATCCAATAAGTTGTAGGTCATGCTAAATGCCAAAAAATTTAAATTCAGGGGCATTGACCCATGAGCTTGAGTATAAGTTGGATCATATACTTGGTGGAGTCGTGGCCACGGGTGATGATGCATGGGCTCCAAGTGAGAGAGGGTTTGCTGACATAACTAAGCATGTAGATGTCAAACAAACTGATGCCTAATGAAAGCCCTAACACTTAACTCAATGAAGTTAAATCTAATAGTCGATCCAAAAGTCATAGGGTTGAGAAAAAGAAAAAAAGATGGTTCAGTATTCATTAACAATCAGATTTCACAATTAGTTGTTTCATGCACAAATGACCCTAGGCATCACAAGCAAATTTTATTTAGCAAGTAATGTGAATTCTGGAAGTAACTCCAAAAATTTACGAGGATATATCGTTTTACTTGTTCTCTATGAAGTTTCTTGAAGACCCAACTGGGAGAGAGTTCTTCATGTCAATTACCCCCGACCGTAGAGACAATTACTTACATTATTTCCGCAACAACCGGGATGCATCAATTTTATTTTATTTATTGGACACTTTATGTTAATTTTTTATAGGGATATTATTTGTGCTAATTTTAATATGCTTCAGTTTTATTTCTTGAATATCTTCTGTTTCATTTTATGAGGAGATATTTACAAGCACTACAACATCTTCATTGCTTTTCGAACTTTT